AAGGTTAATATTGATATAGTCTTTTGATGGTTGTATTAACTGACTCTCACCTTGGGCAGGGATGAGAGGGTTAAAGGAGAATGAGGGTTATTTCCTTCGGTAAAAACTTTGGTTTTTGCCTATCTTGGAGTATACAGAGGGAACCAAAAACTTACTGGGAAATTTGTGGCTGCAGTTGTTCCCCAGTATTTCAGTGCTGCTAAATCATAAGCTCTAGCTGCCTTCTCTTCTTTGTCATACCCACCTATAATTTTTTTTTTTAAAGGGGCATAAGACCTTAGAAAGATAAGATTTATAAGATGTAAAAGCACAAGTTTCTTTCTTTTACTTACCCAAATAAACTGGAAGGAGATGAAGTAATCACATTTCGAAGAATTAATTGAAAAACACAAGAAATGAAATCAAAAGTTAGTGTCAAAGTAATATTAATGTAGATTTCTACAAAAATAAAAAATGAAGTAGAAAGAGTAGAAATTTCATTTTTAGTGTTTTTTCATACATTACATGATATATAAGTTATATAATAGGAATAATTCTCTTATTCCCTTAATTCCTCTCACCCATCTCAAAATTTAAATTTGAGATTTTCAATTTAAAAGCTTAAAGTCTTAACCAATCAAGATATCTCTGAAGGTGAAAAAAATTTCATTTTTAGTAGAAATGCTAGAAAAGTGAAAATATATATATATATATATATGTGTGTGTATATAATGTCATATATATACCTTGCCTTCCCTTTCTGGTTTGTCCTTCTCTTTTGCAACTGTTATCCCACAGGTGAGCTTCATATCTCCCAGTCCATCTGTGCCTACAGAATATCATAAACTCTTACTTCACTACACATTTTCATCCTCAAGAATATTTCAATGCCCAGAACTGGAAACTGTAGTAATTTATATTTCAAACTTGAGTCGATCGGATGATAAAGGATATGTATAAATCAAAATCAGATGCTAAAAAATAAATCATCTATCTATATATATATATATATATATTACTAACTAATATGTTGAGAAAAAGATAAAAGGAAAATGGAAAATATGAAGGTTGATTTATGGTAAAAAAAAAAGGGACAAAGAAGAAAATTGCCTTGTTACACCACGGTAAATAGAAGTTCTTTGGCCAAAAGTATCAATAGATTTCCTCGGCACCGCTTTAATGGCGTCAGTCTGGCTGTCGAGACCGGTGGTTGTTGTCGTCTTCTGCTGCTTATTAGTATCAGAGGAAGAACTCTTTCCACCGCTGGTGCCTCCATTACTGGCAGTGTGAAGCTGTGAAGTCCCAGTGCTCATAGAGAGAGATAACGTCTGTCCACCGCCATTACTATTAGAACAGTCTGGCTGAGTGATTGATGGTGGGGCCGGTTGGTTCCTCAACCATGTCTTGATCATGGACAACCCAAAGGTACTACTGCTGCCCTCGCCATTTTTATTTGTGATGCCACCTTCTTCCCCTCCGCTGTTGCCAGAGCAGTTGGGAAACAAATACTCTTCTACGGTTGTGGCCGCCGCAGGGCCACCGAGGAAGTTCTCCTGTTTTGGATTTTGGTTTTGGGTATTGCATGAACTCCCTATCAACATGGGTAGGTCTGCCGTCTTCATATTCCAATCTACAAGCAAAAATAATAATAATCAAGAAGATGAATCAATCATTTTTTCTACTTCATTTATCTAAATATATTTTTTTTTTGCTTTTTTTTTTTAAAAAGACACTTTCAAACATTTCTCTCTTTTTTTTCCAATTTTTTTTCTTTCATGTTTTAAAAGATATATATAAGGAAATGAAGGGTTTAATTAGGGTTTCTGAACACTAAGTATTGGAGTGTGGGGGTCTAAAAAACGAACCTTGGGATTGATTGTTTCTATTGAAGGCTTCAAGCATGCCAAAAGGAGGAGGAAGGTTGAGGGAAGGTGCTGAGAAGTCCGAGGAGAGATTGAGACACTCGCCAGAGACATCGGTACCGGAGATTTCATCGGAGTTGAAGCCAAGACGGGAGACAGTGTTTTGGGAGTGATCTTGATGATTATCACCTTGTGAAGGGAGTTGCTGGTGAGGGGAGAGAGAAAATCCTAACCAGTTGTTCATGGAAGCCATTAATGGTAGCTTGCTTGAAGTTAGGCAAAAGGAGACTAAGTGATTAGTTCATGCATGAGAAGAGCATAGTAGAAAGAGGGAGAGAAATTAAGGGAGAAGCTTGAAAGGAGGGGAGAGGCAAGGTCAAAGAGACCAAAAATAATCTCTTCCAAAGTAAAAATGTAGAGATTTTAAATTTATATACAAACCCTTGATTTTCTCTAATGAATCATATAAATGGAGTGCCCCTCCTAAATTAAGGGTAGCGATTCTTCCCTTGAACCCATTTTTAGTTTACAACAAATTATTGCCTGGCAGGGACTAAAATGGTATTTTCACATGATGCAAATGTGTCATTATAAAAAAATGGGGGGCCCTAATAACTATTAGAAAGGAGGGTTTTAAATCTCATTCTCTCTCGTGTATATGTAGGACTTATGACACCAATTCTCTCTCTTTCAAAAATCTAAGCAAGGGAAAAGAATAATCAAAAGGTACACGAGGAGTAATTAATAAAAACTAAAAAGTGTCTTGTTGACTGCAGGATGGACTCTGAACGCGGAGGAAGGAGACGGTACGGCAACGGCAACTCGACAACCGGTTTCAAGGATTTCGCGAACAGACTGCCAGCTTTTGACAGAGGATTACTGAAGCAATGTGAATCTTTCCATTTTGTTAACTTTCCTGAGGACTGGGGGGCGAAGCAGTTGTTTTACTTCATTAGAACGACCGTAAAAGCAGGAAGACTATGGGACATTTTCATTCCCAGCAAGAGAGACAGAAGGGGCAACAGGTATGGTTTTGCCAGATTTCTAGATGCCAGGAATGAGCAGGAGATGAAGAAGCAACTGGGAAATATATGGATTGGTAACCAAAGGGTGGTTTTCAACTCGGCTGTGGAAAGAAGAAAGGAGAAGAGAAGAATGGAAGCAAAACCAGCAGAGGAAGCTAGTTGGAAAAGTGACAAAAGGACAATCAATGCTGAAGATAAGAATACAGTGGAAGAAGGGAGTAGGAAGATTCCAAGAATGACATATGCACAATGCCTTCTCCAGCAGAAAGACATGGCAAACTCCTTCGCATCAGGAAACAAAGATCCAACACCGTCGGAGTCAAAAGAATTTCCAAGGAGGCCAAGCAAAGGAACGCCTAAGACTCCCAATGTGAGTCGGCCTGTGTACAAAAAGGTGATTGAACTAACGGACACAGATAAAGCTGAAGATAAACTGATGAAGTGTGCAGTCGGGGTGGTTTCATCTCCATCTATCATCCCAAACCTCCCAGAAATTTTCTTTAATGAAGGCTTCCCTTCAATCAAAATTGCCCCTATGGGAGGTAACCTTGTCTTAATCGATGACGAGGATCCAGAGTATGTTAAGGAGCTGGTAGATGGGAATTTACAATGGGTAGCAGCTTATTTTGATAGAATTAAGTTCTGGACTCCATCAGACATTGCAGAGGAAAGATTTGTGTGGGTGAGAATCCAGGGGTTACCTATACATGCTTGGTCTGAAGAAAGCTTATCAACGATCGGTAACCATGTGGGTAATCTTGTTTCAATTGATGAGTATACACTCTCTAAGGAGTGCCTGGATGCAGCAAGAATTTTAGTATCCACCAAGTCCAAATTGGCGATAAATGAAGAGTTCATCCTCAAAGTGAAGAATAATAGCTTCCACATTGCTGTAGTGGAGGAAAATTGGAGGACTGATCCATGGTGGTTGAAGAAAGCTGTTAGCTCAATCGCTGAGTCAGAAGTGAGTTCAACGGAGTTCAAATTCGGTGAAGATTCCGGCGGTTTTGACGGTGACAGTATGAACGGGTTAGAGGAAGAAGAAATTCAAACACCTACTCAAAGAGTCAATGGCATTAATTGTTCTGACACAGTGCGCGGCTCAAAGAAGCTTGTTGAAATGGGCAAGTTTTGCAACGGCACTCTATCAAATCAAGAGTGTGGGGAACAGAGAAAGGAGCGGGAAAGCAGGGGAACAAACCGAAAGCTTATCAGATTGAGTACAGAACAGGATTCTGATGTGCAAATAATCCAAGAAACGGCCCAACTTGGAAGCCCAAAAGGCAGCGAAAATGAAGCCCAGGTGGTTAAGAACAAAACAAAAATGGGTGACCAGGAGAATGGTGGGCTTCAAGCGGACAAAAGCTCTAATAAGAGCCCTCCCCTACTGCCTGAAACGAGGATTGAATCAACGAAGCTGGTAACTGGTACAAATCGCGGAAGGAGGAGAAAAGCAACCATCCAGCCGGTCAACTTCGGCGGTGAATCCCCAGTAGGCTCTCTATCGGACAGCGACATCCTATACAACAATAGAAGAATCAAAGAAGGCATGATTGCAGAGGAAGCGAAGAAGGTGCTGGATTTCGGGAGCAAGCTAGGAATTCAGACCAAAAATCAAGAAGAGCAGATCCTAGAAAGGTTCAAGCGAATGGAAGAGAGAGACATGCAGGGGTATGCTCGTGAGCCATTAAGGTAGGCTGTTCTGTCATTTTTTTCAGAAACCCATATCAATGAAGCTGCTTTCTTATAATGTTAGAGGACTCGGCAGTGTAGTTAAAAGAAAAGTGGTGAGAAATATGGTGAGGAAAGAGGAAATTAACTTTGCTTGCTTTCAAGAAACCAAAATAGAGACTATTGACAAGGATTTTTGTGTATCTATTTGGGGGCATGAAAACTTTGATTGGGCATATAAGGCTTCGGTGGGTAGATCAGGAGGTGTATTGTGCGTGTGGGACAATGATATATTTGTTAAAGAAGCAGTTGTCGAAATTCCAGGAGCAGTGGCAATTTATGGTTTGTGGGGTCTAAAAAAGCAAAAGTGCTGTATTGTCAATGTTTATGCCTCGTGTAATAGGAATGAAAGGATGGAGTTATGGGCTAAATTACAAAGGATGATTGAGGAAGATGATGGGTTTTGGTGTATAGCTGGTGATTTCAACAGTGTAAGATCAGAGGAAGAGAGAAGAGGAAGATCTGAGCATTCTCGCTACAGGGAGGACCTTAATGATTTCATTGAAAGTGCTGGTTTGAATGATTTGCCACTAACAAGGAGGAAATTCACTTGGTATAAGAGCGACGGGTCAGCAATGAGCAGGCTGGACAGATTTCTTATTTCTGATGGTCTTCTCACGTTCTGGGGTGACTGCTGTCAGGTTGGATTAAACAGATCCATATCAGACCACTGCCCGGTGATATTAAAGAAGGTTAACAGCGACTGGGGGCCGAAACCATTTAGAGCTCTGAATTGCTGGGATCAACATCCAGATTTCATCAGAGTAGTTGAGGATATTTGGAAATCTACTGAGGTTGGGGGATGGAGTGGATATGTGTGTAAAGAAAAATTCAAACAATTGAGGAATAAATTGAAGACATGGAATATCGAAGTCTTTGGTAACTTCGAACATCAGATTGCAGATGCAGAAGCAAAAATTAAAGGAGTAGATAGCAAGAATGATGAAAATGAAATAACAGAGGAGGACATCTTGCTCAGAAGGGAGGGGTTCAGTGAATTATGGGAAGCATGGCAAAGAAGAGAAGTGGCATGGAAGCAGAAGACTAAGCTTGACTGGGTTCAGCAAGGGGATGCAAATTCTAAGCTCTTCCATAGAATAGCTAGCGGTAACAGGACCAGGAAATTGATTCGGGGCTTATATAAAAATGGGGTATGGATGGAAGAACCCAGTGCAGTGAAGCAAGAAGTGCGGGATTATTTCAAAAATATCTTTCAAGAAGAGCAATGGGATAGGCCAAAGCTTGATGGATTGCAATTCAAACAGTTAAATGATGAAGACAGACTTTGGTTAGAAAGAGATATCTCAGAAGAAGAGGTGAAACAAGCAGTGTGGGATTGTGGAGGGGATAAGTCACCAGGTCCTGACGGGTTCAGCTTCCATTTAATTAGAATTTTCTGGAATGTGGTCGAGAAAGATATTGTTGACTTTGTTCAAGAATTCTCCAGAAATGGCAAGCTGGTAAGGGGACTAAATTCCTCATTTATTGTCCTTATTCCAAAAAAGGCTAATCCTGTTGACTTAAAAGACTATAGACCAATTAGTTTGGTTAACAGTCTTTACAAAATAATATCGAAGGTGCTGGCTAACAGGATTAAGAAAGTTTTATCCAAAGTGATTAGTGGGGCACAGTCTGCATTTTTGGGAGGAAGACAGATCACTGACGGCATTTTGATTTTAAATGAAGTTGTGGAGGAGATCAAGAGGAAAAAGGCTAGTAGCTTCATTTTTAAAGCAGATTTCGAGAAAGCATATGACTGTGTGAACTGGAATTTCTTAGATGAAATGATGTGGAGGCTTGGATTTGGTGAAAAATGGAGAAAATGGATAAGGGAATGTCTGCAAACTGCTTCAGTATCAGTTCTTGTTAATGGAAGCCCAACTGATGAGTTTAAAATGGAGAGAGGGATAAGACAAGGTGATCCCATTGCTCCGTTTCTCTTTTTAATTGTTGCGGAAGGCTTAAATGTGTTGATTGAATCAGCTGTAAGTAAGGATCTATTCCAAGGAGTCGATATAGGCCCTTTTGGCCTCAACATATCACATCTCCAGTTTGCCGATGACACCGTTATCATGGGGAAGGCAGATCCTACAAATATAAAAGCTGTGAAAGGGATATTGAGATGGTTTGAACTGGCTTCGGGGTTGAAAATCAATTTTAACAAAAGTGTGCTGTATTCGTTATATGTCTCGGATGAGTGGGGAAGAATGGCAGCCGCTACTCTTAATTGCAAATCAGGATCAATCCCATTCACCTACCTTGGCATGCCAATTGGGGATGTTATGTGCCGGAGGAAGCCTTGGATTCCAGTTATTGACAATTTTAGTAAAAAGCTGGCAGTCTGGAAAGCGAAACACCTGTCGATTGGTGGCCGAGTTACGTTGCTAAGGTCCGTTCTATCTGCCCTCCCTATCTACTTTATGTCTGTTTTCAAAATTCCTAAAATTGTGCTGCATGAACTTATATGCTTACAACGGAAGTTTTTGTGGGGTTATTCAGAGGAGAAGAATAGGTTAGCATGGCTGAGTTGGGAGAAAGTATGTAGGGGGAAAAAAGAGGGAGGTTTAGGAGTTCCAAATATTGAGTATAGAAATATAGCTTTGCTAGGGAAGTGGTGGGACAGATTCGGAAAGGAAGAGAACAGCTTATGGAAGACAGTTATTTCCAATAAGTATTACGGTGGTGACATTAAGTGGGATATCAACCAATTTCAAGTTAGGAAATTACCATCCTTATGGGGGAATATTGTGGCTATAGGTAATGAGGGGGGTAAAGGCTCATGGGTAATAAGGGACGGTTTTAGCTGGAAGTTGGGGATGGGTGACAAAATAAAATTCTGGTATGATAAATGGGTAGGCATAGATTCTTTGGACGTCTCCTTTCCTAGATTATTTAATCTAGCTTTGAATAGGAATGCTAATGTTATGGAAGTGGGTCAAATCTCTAATGGCTTATGGATTTGGAGAAATGCATGGAGACGTGAACCTTTTGGCAGGGAAAGGAATGAAGAACGACTGCTAAAGGAAAGCCTTGCTGGTGGGATCACTTTCTCTACCCAACCCGACCAAAGAGTTTGGAGCTTTGATACTGCAAATGGATACACAGTGGGCAAGGCTTACTCAATGATGGCTGGACAGAACAATATTTTGGAACCAAGAATCTGCACAAGGCTATGGAACAGATTAGTACCAACTAAAGTCAGTTGTTTTGGTTGGCGCTTGATCCTTAATGGTATCCCAACAAAATCTGGTCTCTTGAAGAGGGGTGTCAAGCTGGAAGAAGCAGAAACTATTTGTTGCATATGCAGAAGGGACTTCGAGGATGAAAATCACCTGTTCGTTCAATGCCCAAAGATACAGAGCCTATGGATGAAATGCTACAACTGGTGGGGGATTTCTCTACCTCTGCCCAACTCCATTCCCCTTCTTTGTGAAGCTCACAGCTTTGGGATCAAAAAGGTGGTAAAATCTGATGTGTGGTTTCTCATATTCCTGGTGGTCACATGGTCCATATGGTATTCGAGGAATTCTATTATTCATAACGCACAACAGTGGGATGAGGGTAAGGTTTTTGATTTAATTCAAAGGAGGACTTTTGTATGGATAAGGGGAAAGACCAAAAATTCTATGTTCTCTTTTTTTCACTGGTGTAATTCCCCTAGTCTATGTGTTCAAGAAATTACTAGAAGTTAGCTTTGCATAGGATTTAAGCCCCTCTTTTTTTGAATCAGCTTAGAGTGCCTCATTTGTTATTATTATGTAAGGTGTTTTGAGACTATGGGTGGAGTACCCCTTGTACTCCGTATGATAATACATATTTGATTCATCAAAAAAATTAATAAAAACTAAAAAGTGGCATACACTAGCCTCTTGTACACATAGACATGGTTTAATGGTTTATATATATATATATCTTCTTTGTTTTGTTCTACAGTCCAAAATTAGGCAAGTTGAGGCTTATCTTCTTGTCCTTTTGATAGTTAAAGTATTTATGTAAGGCTATAAAGCTTAACCCATGGGTCATAACCCTCGAAGAGAGCATGTGGTTTCGTAAACTTAACACAAACTTGTATTCTTCCTTTTTGGACTTCAAAGATAAATATATAACCTTGGTTCTTCCCCATTAATTTGTTTGTAGTAATCAAACCTACTAGAACATCCCACTCATACATATATAGTATAAATATATACGTGACTCTCTCTTACATATAATAACAGTATTCTTTTTTTAAAAAAATTTTTTCTCTAGAATTAAGGATTTAGAAATTATTTATGTATTTATTTATATTATTTTTAAGAAAAAACTAAAAGATAAAGTAAAATTTTTTGATAAGATAATTAATCAAAATAAATAAATAATACGGTTAAAATAAGAAAAAAATATTTGTTTACTTTTAAAAAAAATAAAAATTAATTGGAAACAAATTCAAAGTCAAAAAACAACATTTATTTTGAGACGGAGAGAATATCATTTTTTGTCCATTTAAAGAATAATAGTTAAAAATAAATATGAAAATTTTTAATTAATTATTACATCTCTATTTTGTTAGAAAAAAATAGATCAACTTAAATAAAATAGGGAGTAATAAAGAAGTTTCTCTCTCATTCCTGTGAAACACCTGCAGATGAAGATGATATATATGTGTATTTCTGAGACGTAGTGACAAAAAATCCACTCGCAGCCCCTCTCCACACCTATTTATTCAAGCCCATTTGGACACAAGTCAGTATACTCTGCTGCCCCCCCAGCGCCTTTTCATGCCTTTTTCTCTTCGTGACTCAATATTTTATAAAACCCCATAACTTTTTCACATTCCATCTATGTCCTTTCAAATTTCTTTACTATTTCCCCAACTCCAAATCATCAATCTACTCCCCCGCTATACACGGGAATCTCTTTCTCTAATTTCTCTTTCTTTTTCTTCTGTACACATATCAATAATTCATGCATGATCTGACAAATTTCCTTTTTCTTTGTTTTTGAGAAATATGTTGTTTTAATCCTTAATCTCTATGGCTGTTTGTAAAGTCATTGGCCAACCTTTGAAATTGAGCAATTGGGTCCTGAATGGCAAGTTAACTTTGCATTATGATTCTTTTTTTGTCTACATAGAATTTTGACTGTAGAACTAATAAATAAAATTGCTATTACAACTTTTTAAACAGTAGAGTTAAAAGGAAAAAAAAAAAAACTTTGCTTTGCATTCATTTAAAGAAATAAGATATCTTCTATTGACCAAAATGAAATAGATATTAATTTCTTACTCTAAAAAGTTCTTGTAGTAGTCTCCTATGTGAACTCTAAGTTTAACATTAATGTTTTTTTTTTTTTTTTGTTTTACTTTCTTTCTAATTAAGGGGATAAAAAGACCATATTGTATTGCCAAGGGGATATCTCTTTTCTAGTTGCCCTTATTATTTTATTGAAGGAAAGGCTATATAGCATAAATTTAAAAAGTTTAGGATCTCAATTGCTTAGTTTTGAAACCGGCAGCTTAAGGATAACTTTGCAAGCAATTGTAAAGTTAAGGACTAAACGGATATTCACTATTTTAAAAAATTACATTGCAAAAGGAGCTTCTTTTGAAAGTGTAAAATGAAATTCCTAAATTAAAAGTATATCATATATAGCTAGCTATGGTTGGGGTTTGCTCTTTGCACCCCCTATCTGAGGACACCAACCCTTATCTTCCGGTTCTATGTTATGTGTTTATTTCATTGTCAACTTTTTTCTTTAAATTTGAGGGACATATTGGAAGAATAATCTAATTTCAAAGGATCCGAATGAAATTACTAGATACTTCACCCCATTTCTATGCAAGCTCCTTTCTTCTGTAGTTTGAATCCCATTTCTTATCCTGTTCAAAAAAAAAAAAATTCCATTTCTTATTGTGCTAGCTATTCTTATTTGCAATATACTTTTGGCAGTTCTGTGTGAACAATATCTAATATGCTGAACAAATGGGTAAACATCAGCATATCAATGTTTTTCTTCTTTTTTTTTTTTTTTTTTTTTGAAATGGAAACCAAAATATATTCAGACATAAAGTACAAAAAGTATAAGGGGTATTAAATCCCTTATATGTTTGGAAATTTTAGTTTTATATTATACAAAAAGTTAATAAAGTAATATATGATATTAAATGACTTTGTAATAGTTTTTTTTTTGAAACGGTTAACTTTTCAATGTAATAGTAAAATAAATTAATATCGAGAAAATTAGGAGAAAATATAGTCAAGACCTCAATGGAAAGGAATGGGAACCTTTTCTCTAGTCAAAAAGTAGGAAAAAGTAATTATTTATTAAGAATCGTTTGACGGGTTAAAATGACTATCTATTACTTTTTCTGATTGGATTTAAATGTCTGAGTTTAATTTATATATAAAATTTAATAAAATAATTTTATATAATAAATAAATAAGAATTAAAATTTTTAATAATTTTTATTAAGTAACTTGAATCAAAATTTTTTTATTGTTATTTATTTATTATATAAAATTATTAAATAAATGTATATAAACTAAAAGATTAAAACAGCAAAAAAAGACTAGAATGAGAGTATTTATTAGTTATGATATTTAGGTGTACAAGCACTAAATTAACTTTCAATTTATTAGAAAAGGGGAGAAACCTCTTCTAAACCAAACCTGACCTAAGAAAATAGCTATGTTATGCCAAGACTAAGAAATTAACAATTTTATGCCAAACCAAATCCCTTACTAACCTAACAATGTTAGGAGTGATTTCCATGTAATCATTAAAAAACTTGAATTTAAAATTTTAATTACAGTTAATCATGATTTATGTATCACTTGTTAAATACTCTTTTTTTTTAGAGTTTCTTTGGTTAGAGGATAATTTTATTAGAAAAATTTTTATTAAGAAAATAATTAATAAAGTACTGTATAAAAAGTTAATAAATATTGTAAAAAAATTAATAAATTTTGTAATAAAATTTTGTTAAATTTTTGTTCATTTATTAACCTTTTTATATTTGATAAGAAAATAA